TGGACAATATTGAATCCAAGCACGTTATTTTTGCACTGTGTGAGTTCGATTTGTTCGTATCTTGCTGATTCATACTTAACCCTAAGGTTGGGGTTTATAGATTCTCTTTGATTCGAACAGAAATTGGTTCAAGCTTTAATTTTAAGTACTATCTCGTCTATATTCACCTTATTATGTATGAATCTGTCTATTTCTGCCGATTATTTTTACTTGCCCTAAATTAAGGTTTCAGATTCTTTTTATTTAAACCAAATCTGGTTCGATTCTGTGTTTTGTGAATAATATTCATGTCTATGTTCATTTTATACAATCTTCAAGAACCCCGGACAGTGCTCACACTAGGGAGGTTGATCAGAAATAATTCAGAGGAAAGACTAGGGACCAGGTCTTAGTTTGTCAGAGTTCTCAAGGGTCACAAATGAACCCTGAGAAGTGCTCACACTAGGGAGGTCAAAGGACAGAATCTAAGTAGCCTTGGCTTTCAGCCGGCTAAGGATAAGAATTCAGAAGGACCAGATAGTAGATGAATAGAATGACGTCAAGGGATTCCACTGAAGGACAGAATCAATTGAGCATATAAAAACAAATAATAGACATGCTTAAACTTAAGGTAGACTTAATCAAGTTTCAGAAAATGAATTCAATCACATGCTAGCAAGGCAAGTTACAAGATAGATTTATAGTGGTAAAAGAGAACTCAGATTAGGCTAAGTGTAGAAACTAGTGTCATAAGAAGAAATCATATCAATTGGCAGTAGACCATAACATGCTAAAAACTAATTAGGGCAATTACTAGATATGTCAAAACAGGACCAAACAGGCCACGTTATAGTGAATTCAGAAACAGAATTGTTATCCTATTAATGAATACATCCATACCTAGTTAACTAATCCATAGAAGGAGATATGAGAGCATGTTCAAAGAGCAGGATAATAACAAACTTAAACTTCAAGAGGTGGCTATCAGTGACATATAGGTTAGGCAGAATCAAATTAATCAACTCAAAGTAGGTCTAAACATGTCTCAAACTACGGACGTAATGGCATTTAGGTTTGCAGAGTCTAATTGAAGTAACACATTAAACGAAATGACAGATAAATCAGAATGAAATGGAAAAGGCTTGGTAACTCACCAGTTAAAATGAAATAAGAAAGAAAGGAATCCCACAGTATTGTGAATATCACCCAAAGAGCAAGAACTCAGAATTTATGACATTGGCTTTCAGCCGGCCGGGAACCAGAGTACAGAACAAGATTATTCAAGAGTAAGGAGTATACAGCTTTAGTTTTATAGCTTTTTAGTGATTTTTCAAGTATTTTCGAACTTAACCAAAGGGGAGTGGGGAGGGTTTTAAATAGTGTAGGAACTAAACACATAAATATGGAAATATAATTAATTCAAACAATCAGTAAAGAAGAAAAATTTTGAAACCCTAGTTTTTAGGTAAACTCCACAAAATTGGCAGAGAGAACTTGAGGTTTTGTGAGTGGAAGAAAAAATTTCACTCAAAAACTACCCTAAATCAGTTTTTGGGAACTTGGAAGTTTTTGAAATTTTTTTCCCAAGCATGATCATATTTCATAAACAAACATTATTTTAAAAATAAAATTAAAAAATGAAGCCAAAATCTATGGTAAAACGGGGAGCTAAGATTTGCTTTGGCCTTCAAACCAAATGAACCCTTTTGTCAAATTGGTCAAAAGTAACGAAATGATTTTGCAGTTCAAATGTCTACTCATCAGATGGTTTTAAACTTTTGATCATTCAACCTGATGTGACATGACTATCATCGCATCATTAACCTCTCTGCACCTTCTCTAGAGAAAGAAAGAATTAAGAATGTCGACAACAATAACTTCTTGAAAAGTTAGACACCATTGGTTCAAGTGTTTACAAAGACACTTTTTTTCTCCCCAGAAATTCCTTACTTTGCTCCTATTAGTGACTCTGAAATCACAACCTTAAGATTGGAGATGAGGAGTACTTACAAAGACGTTTCTTCATATCTCAAATGGCTCATAATTTTCTTAAGCTTTAATTTTGGTGTAGAAACAGAAGTGCTAGACAGTTAAGGTCGAATATTTGGCCTCTCAGATACATGTTGATACACAGATCATTACCTTATTAGTATGTAGTACTTTTATAACATTGTTGCTCGAAGTAAAACAGAAACAGAGATGGCAAAAAACTGATAATCATCAGGCACAAAAACTTTTCTGCAACTATCCAAAAGAAGTTCATACCATTTGAAAACTACTATTCTCAATCCAACATGCTATTATTAATTTTTAAAAAAACTTACATGATAAATTCAATTTCAGTGGCCAGGAGGCAAGATACCGAGAAAAAAATTCTTCTACTTTGTTCAACAAATAAAGCTGGCATATCAACTATCAACATGATGTAACAATCCAAAGAATATAATCTGAAAAGTGCCCTGTAAACAAGAATGACAATTCGGTGATTCCAGACTCTACTACGGCATCATAGTTCTTGTACAAACGCCAGTTGAACCTATCTGATAGAAGATTACTGTACATTCCGCTTCAGGGAATATAAAACAGGCAACTAAAACATAAGCTTCTTTTGGATCCTTTTCAGATTCTACAATATCATACAGCTTCAAGCATAGCAATCACAAACATGTCATGAGAAGTCCTGAAATTTCGATGTCAGACAAAGCTATAAGACTACTACATGAAAGCATATATGTGCATTTGTTGTCCAAGCATTTAAGAACACAGCATTAGTGTGATCGCGGAGGATAGGCTCCAGGGTATGGACCTGGCAAAACATTAAAATATATAGGTAGTTGAGAAGCCGGGAGAGAGTAGAGTAAAAAAGTTCACGTCTTACAAGAATATTTACCTGGAGGATAAGAATAACCCTGTGGAGGATAAGGCGGAGGTGGATATGCTGAAGTTGATGAGTAAGGTGAAGGATAAGCTGTCGGTTGAGGAGGATAAGGAGATGGTGGATGATATGTTGCAGAAGGAGGCGGGACTGCGGGATAAGGAGATGGTGCCGGATACGCAGAAGGTGGTGGGTGAGATGGTGCTGGATAGGCAGAAGGTGGTGGGTGAGAAACTGCATGCTGCGGAGCTGCAGAATATGGATATGATCCAGGAGTTGGTGCTCCATATGGAGAGCCTGATGGAGCATGGCTTGTTGCAGGCTTCTGGAAGTAGGAGTAAAAGTCATGTCAAAGATATATAAAGCAGGTCCGTGTTCGGGTTTGGAGGGGGGCAAGGGCAAGGGAGAAATTCTAAGAAAAGATGGTGGCACTTACATTGGCATTTGCGTAGTGCATTATCAGTCGAACCTCTCCTGCATGCCTGTAAAAGAAAATACAAGCCACGGTACTTCTGTTATGCGGTGCAATTTCATTCATTACAGTCCCAACAGCAAGTGCAAAAGACCCAAGAAAACTTCACAAAAATCAGATAACTTTGGAATCTTAGGTTCACACGGTTCAAATAAACTTGATCGACTACAGAGATAGTTACAGGAAATCCATAAATGTTTCTGTTAATCACACAATCCGTCCTTGCATTTCTGAGATATTAATCTAATATATCAAACATCAACTGTCCCTAATTCTTCACCCAACTAGAGGCACACACCTGGCCCACACCCAACAGTATCTAGTATGTCTAAACGTCCATATGGCTCTCTTTGTTTTTTTGAATGAGCCGACCCATGACTCAGCCGAGAAGAGAAAAGTAAGACAATTAATGGGGAGAAGTTTGATCGGAAGTAGCCTAACTAATTGAATCCTTGATTCATGAGTTACATAGCATCCTATATTTCTTTAAGAAAAGCTGGAAATCCATCCCTGTACAGTCGAGAAGAGAAGAAGTAAGACAATTAATGGGGAGAAGTTTGATCGGAAGTAGCCTAACTAATTGAATCCTCGATTCATGAGTTACATAGCATCCTATATTTCTTTAAGAAAAGCTGGAAATCCATCCCTGTACAGTCACTTAAGAGATAGAAGAAAAAGAAAATGGCAGAAGATAACTTCTTCTACAAACTGGCTAAGGCATATTAGTTTTTATCTCCTATTTACTTCTGGACTTCAGAAAAGTAATATAAGGTACAAAGCAACAAGTTGATTTTCATTTATCCTATTTCACTTTGGTGTAAGCTATTAATGCTTTTTACTACTGGTTGTAATCTTTAATCCATCGGAAGCAGGAAGTCTTTAGAAGCTAAGACTAACTGAATGCTATCTGCAAGTCTTTAGTCCATTAAGTACTATTTTATTCCAGAACTAGAAGTTCTTAACGGCACTTCTTTGTTGCTTCAAGTCATGTAGCTCTATCACAATAAGGTATGTTAACAATAGTTTTGTCTACTGATACACTAGGCAAACCGATCTGAAGTATCTTTTATTAGGTTGCGTGTTTGACCACATTTTACCTTTAACATATCATTATACTTAAAGCTTTCTGTGGTCTCCATGGCTATGAACCTAAATATCTACAGAAATCATATTTACTTGAGATTCTTAATCTTATATTTTGAAATCTAGATGCCTTCTTAATCTTTTTGCTTGGTGTAATCATTATAATGCAAATAGCTCCATTTTACTTTTAGATTTTATTAGCTCCCTGAACAATTAGGTGGATTGTTAGATTCTGCTTGCTGGAGCTTTCTGGTTTCTTTATTAATGAAACAACTTCTTACTTGATCCAAAAGAAAAAAACTCACATCAGATCCATACGTCGAAGACCTCAGTGCAATTGAGGAACTTGTCATATTAATGTCACATGAAAAAGTGGAAGCACAATGTACAAGATTTTGTCAAAGAAACACACACAAAAAAGGGACAAATTTTAACTCTAAAGGACGACCTACTTGCAATTATACTCAGTAAAGAAGACCCATACATAGGAAAGAAGAAAACATCATCTAAAAATGAACAATGTGGATTTTTTGTCGATTTACCTGCCCCTCTTCGTCTGGAGTGGCCAAGCAGTATCATCATATCCATGTGACAGAACTTTCTGTAGCTGAATCCTAGAATTAAATTATTAAGGATTAGCACTCAACTAACAAAAACTAAATAGATCGTTCAATCAATTACGCCTCAATTCCAAATTAGACAGGTCGAATATACAAATCATTTTAAATCCATTTATATTCCGTGTAAAGAAAAAGTAAGTAATAAAAGGAGCACTAAGATTTGAAATTACTTTCCGCTTCCAATGAAATCATCAGTATTAACGGTATTGCTATTCCAGACGACAACGTTAATCTCTCGCAACCCTTCAATGAGAGTAAACACGAATTTCTCTTGAAAGGTAGGGTTTTTTCCTCCATCTACAGAAAAAATAACAGAACAACAGCATTAATTTCACAAAAATTCCCCAAATTAGAGAAAACAGTCTTACGTCTCAATCAAAATACTAGTTCCAATAAACTATATAAATCATCTGTATTCGTCGGACTCTATTCAAATAATTTAATTTGTAAGTAACTATTTTCATATTGTAAGTCAACAAATGGAGAAAAAACAAATTTTACCAGTACAGGTACGAGTACGGTATTTAGAACTGCCGTATTCAAGACAAACATAGGGATCTTGCCTTGAAATCCATTCAGTGTCCTTCAATTTGTTACAAGCAACAACTACAAAATCGAAAATTCAAAGCAAACAATTACGAGAATGGATTCATAGAAATTCAGTTGTTTATAATAGTTAAATGAAGATTGAAGTTGATACCAGTGACTTCTAGGAGCTGGCCTTGGATGCCATATACTATCGACATAGAAGAAGAAGAAGACGGCGACGAATTTGGGTATAAATTGTAGGAGATTTAACAAAGAAATACGTAGCAAAGACGGTTTTATATGGGACTAAAAATAGAACGAATCAACCAATAGGTGGTTTCTTGTTCATTTCTTTAATTTGAAAATGTGATAGTAGTACAATAATTAAACATCCAGTGGTTGACCCCAGAAGAGAATACGCGTAGAGTGATAATGTTAACGGCTAAAAGATATAAATAAAATAGAATAAAATAAAATGCAGTTACTACTAAGAAATTAATAATAAGGGAGTATAATAAATCTGGGTTAAAATACAAAATTATATTATTTGCTATTTGGTTGAATTTTTTTATGTCGAGATTAATTATACTATAATTTTAATATTATTTTTATATCACCAATTCAATGCGGGATAATGATTAATATTAAAATGGTCAAAATGCCCTTATTTATGGTTCTTTAAAAAATTTAAAGTTAAAACGAAATTAAAGTTTTTCTCAATTTATCTAGTGTGATTTCTAACAGATGTTTTATAATAACTCGTATATCACAATTTAGGCCAAAGAAATCAACACCTACCAATAAAAGTATATTCACAAAATAATTTTATCATTAAATTATATTATTTGTTATTTGGTTGAATTTTTTTATGTCGAGATTAATTATACTATAATTTTAATATTATTTTTATATCACCAATTCAATGCGGGATAATGATTAATATTAAAATGGTCAAAATGCCCTTATTTATGGTTCTTTAAAAAATTTAAAGTTAAAACGAAATTAAAGTTTTTCTCAATTTATCTAGTGTGATTTCTAACAGATGTTTTATAATAACTCGTATATCACAATTTAGGCCAAAGAAATCAACACCTACCAATAAAAGTATATTCACAAAATAATTTTATCATTAAATTATATTATTTGTTATTTGGTTGAATTTTTTTATGTCGAAATTAATTATACTATAATTTTAATATTATTTTTATATCACCAATTCAATGCGGGATAATGATTAATATTAAAATGGTCAAAATGCCCTTCTCTATGGCTCTTTAAAAAATTTAAAGTTAAAATGAAATTAAAGTTTTTCTCAATTTATCTAGTGTGATTTCTAACAGATGTTTTATAATAACTCGTATATCACAATTTTAGGCCTAAGAAATGAACACCTACCAATAAAAGTATATTCATAAAATAATTTCATCATAATTTAATTACTATTTTTTTTTTGCAGATGACACAGTACTAAGTGACGAGACGCAAGGCGATGTTAACACTAGACTGGAGGTTTGGAGGAAAATTTTATCTAAAGGTTTCAGGCTGAGTAGGACTAAAATAGAATACTTGGAGTGTAAGTTCAGTGACGTGACCCAGGAAGCTGATATTGACATGAGCCTGAATACACAAGTCATCTCCGAGAGAGGAGTGTGGATGAAGTGGAGGCTCGCATCCGATGTCTTGTGTGATACGAATGTGCCACTGAGACTTAAAGACAAGTTCTATGGAGTGGTTGTTAGACCGACTATGTTGTATGGAGCGCAGTGTTAGTCAGTCAAAACTTCTCATGTTCAGGATGAAAGTAGCAGAAATGAGGATATTGAGATGGATGTGTGCGCATACTATGAGAGATATGATTAGAAATGAAGATATCTGAGACAAGGTGAGAGTGGCCTGTGTGGTGGACAAGATATGAGAATCGAGGCTAAGATAGTTCGGGCATGTGAAAAGGAGATGTACAGATGTCCGAGTGAAGAGGTGTCAGAGGTTGGTTATGGCAGGTCCTAGAAGAGGTACAGGTAGGCCGAAGAAGTATTGCGGAGAGGTGATCAGGTAGTACATGGCATATCTTCGGCCTACCGAGGACATGACCCTTGATAGGAGGGTTTGGAGATCGAGAATTAGGATAGTAGGTTATTAGTAAGTAGTCGAGCATATTTTTTTTTCAACCTGTATTTCTTTTCCATACCTGTAGTATTAGTATTATTCTTGTATTTCTTATTCTTATATTTTTATTACTATATGTTGTTTCTTTTGCTTCGTTTATATTATTTTTCTGGCTCTTTCCATATTTTTTTTGTCATAATTGTTCGAAAACAACATCTTTATTTTCACAAGGTAAGGGTAAGTTCTACGTACACAGTATCTTTCACATGTGAAATTATATTGAGTATGTTGTTGTTGTTGTTTAATCGCCGTATTATTATCCGGTTATCTTGATATAACTTGTTCAATAACCAAACGACAAAGTTGTAACTCGTCTTGTCTTATGTCATTTTTCCCTTACTCTAATCTCGTCAAATTTCGTCCCTTCCTCACTTTGTTTCATCTAAGTTCACTTTTGAATCTGCATTGTAGTTTATGTCTGATATCATCTTTCAAGTCGGTAAAGTCGCTCAACCATCTAAGATGAAACATTTTATTTTCGTAAACCTGTCTATAATATGTGCTGCTCACTTACTTCACCTCGGATTGTTTCAGACATTTACTTGTTTGTTGTATTTCTTTCATTATTTTAGCTATGTGTCTATCCACGTTCGAGATATTAAGGAGAAACACCCCCAACAATTTATTTTTCTGCGTTTGAGTTGGTTTTTAAACAAATATAATTTATGTAATCCTGAGGACCCAATTGAAAAATACTGAATAAAATCAAAACAATTACAGTATTAAAAATAAGCCAAAAAAAAAAAAATGCTTATGCCGAAGGGAACAGATGGGAATACAGTCATGTTGTTAGATTCGCATATTTGATTGAATTTGACAATAAATAGAAGTAGAGAAATAGAAGTTGAATATGGAGAGCTTAAGATCAAGCTTGCATTGAGGTTGCGGCAAGTTTTGTCAAGAGAAGACTTTTCCAACCCAAAAAAGAATTTTGATTGACACGTCACCCGCCACGTTCCATTAAAAAATAGAAAATGAAGTTTAGCCGCGTGTCATTAATAGAGAAAAAATCCAAATAAATTCCAACCTTTTAAATATAAAATATAAAGACAATTGTTAGCTACTTAAGGCTGTGTTGATTAAACTCCCACACCTGTAAGGGTATCATTCGAAATCGCTTCATAAAAATAACTCAAATATTTATAAAAATATTACTCTTTTAGAAATAACATGTTTACTAACAATTCGCCTACAATGTTTGAAAATGTTATTAAATAGAGACTGTAAAGTAAAGATAAGTATACGGAGAAACTGATATATTATTCAAACTTTAAACTTATGTACATAATGAACTGAAAACTCCTCTATTTATAAAAGAAAGGAAGCAGCTGCGAGGCTTTTCAGGAAGCAGTTGCGAGGCTTTTCAGAAAGTAGCTGCAAGGTTTTTCTTTAGCTGCTTGTAAGCTGTCTGCATGAGCTGCTTGCAACCTACCTGTTTAATAAGAAGCTGCTGCAAATCATTTCATTGAGCTGCTTGCAACCTGTCTGCACCAGCTGCTTGTAGATAAAGTTCAACAGAATACTAAATGGATAATCTTCTTCGGGAAGATTATCTCTAGCGGAGTAATAAATGGACATCCACAATATAATTATTTTCATAACACTCCCCCTTGGATGTTCATTAAAAGGTATTGTGCCTCGTTAAAACCTTACTAGGAAAAACTCAGTAGAAAAAAATCCTAGTGAAGGAAAAAGAGTACACATATTTAGTAATACGCATTTCTAGCTGCCTCATTAAAAACCTTATAAGGAAAACCCTGTGGGAAAAAATCTTAGTACGGAAAAAAGAGTACATCGCGTATTTTACTCCCCCTGATGAAAATCTTGTTTCAAATATTTGAGTCTCTGCATTTCAATCTTGTATACCATCTTCTCAAAAGTTGAAGGTGGCAAAGATTTAGTGAACAAATCTGCTGGATTGTCACTTGAACGGATTTGTTGCACATCGATGTCACCATTTTTCTAAAGATCATGTGTGTAGAATAATTTTGGTGAAATGTGCTTCGTTCTATCTCCTTTTATAAATCCTCCCTTCAATTGGGCTATGCATGCAGCATTGTCTTCGAAACAAATCTTTATTCACTTCAAGTGATCGAACAACCATTGGTGTACTCAATGTGCGCGCTTTGTCCATGTAAAAGCATTTTAAGACCCTTTCTGTATAGGCAGATTGATGGATAAAGATCCCGTCTGCTAAATATTCAAATTGCAAACCAAGACAAAGTTTTATCTTTCCAAGTTCTTTCATCTCAAATTCTTTCTTAAGATATTCAATTGCCTTTTGGAGTTGTTCTGGAGTTCCAACAAGATTTATGTCATTAACATAAACAGCAAGTATAACAAATTCTGAAGCCATTTTCTTTATAAAAATACATGGACAAATAACATCATTTATGTTGCCCTCTTTCGACAAATATTCAGTGAGGCGATTATACCACATGCGCCCAGATTGTTTTAAACCGTACAAAGATCTTTGTAATCTAATTGAGTATATTTCTCGAGATTTTGAATATGCTTCAGGCATTTTAAATCCTTCAGGGATTTTCATGAAATTTCATTATCAAGTGACCCGTACAGATAAGCTGTAACCGCATCCATTAGATGTATTTCAGGCCTTTCACGTAAGGCTAAACTGATGAGATATCGAAATGTTATGGCATCCATTGTCACGACCCAAACCGATGGGCCGCGACGGGCTCCCGGTACCTTACTCAACCGAGTACCAATGTAACGTATCTTTCATATCGTACTATCATAGGTAAATGAGCCGGAGAGGCTATCGTGAAATAAGTAGAATAAAACATGAGGAAATACTCAATATAGGGTGACCCAACTTGATATACCGACTTATACATATGACGTACTGACCTATATGGCCATACCAGTTTTCGTATACATGACATCTGTCTACAGGCCTCTAAAAGTACATAAATACCATAAAGGTCGGGACAAGGTCCCGCCATACTAAACAATACACGTCCAAATTATACTGACCAAATAGGCAACTCCGGAGCAAATGGAGCGCACCAACATCTTTCGCTGAGCTGATAGCCTATTTAGAGAACTCTCAACCTGTCTATCGGGACCTGCGGGCATGAAACGCAGCGTCCTCAGGCAAAAGGGATATCAGTACAAATAAAGTACCGAGTATGTAAGGCATGACAGTAGTATATAAAAGACATGAAAGAA